TGTAGTAAAACTCTTTCCACACTCTGAGCAGTGATACGGTTTCTCTCCTGTGTGAATGCGCTTGTGTGTTTTGAGAGAACTCTGTTCAGTAAAAGTCTTTCCACACGCTGAGCAGTGATACGGTTTCTCTCCTGTGTGAATGCGCTTGTGTGTTTTGAGAGAGCTCTGTTCAGTAAAAGTCTTTCCACACTCTGAGCAGTGATAAGGTTTCTCTCCTGTGTGAATGCGCTTGTGTGTTTTGAGAGAACTCTGTTCAGTAAAAGTCTTTCCACACTCTGAGCAGTGATAAGGTTTCTCTCCTGTGTGAATGCGCTGGTGTGTTTTGAGATTACTCTGTACAGTAAAAGTCTTTCCACACTCTGAGCAGTGATACGGTTTCTCTCCTGTGTGGATGCGCTGGTGTGTTTTGAGATTACTCTGTACAGTAAAAGTCTTTCCACACTCTGAGCAGTGATACGGTTTCTCTCCTGTGTGAATGCGCTGGTGTGTTTTGACAGCACTCTGTACAGCAAAAGTCTTTCCACACTCTGAGCAGTGATACGGTTTCTCTCCTGTGTGAATGCGCTGGTGTGTTTTGAGAGCTCTCTGTACAGTAAAACTCTTCCCACACTCTGAGCAGTGATACGGTTTCTCTCCTGTGTGGATGTACTGGTGTGTTTTGAGAGCTCTCTGTACAGTAAAACTCTTCCCACACTCTGAGCAGTGATACGGTTTCTCTCCTGTGTGGATGCGCTGGTGTACTTTGAGATTACTTGGTGTAGTAAAACTCTGTCCACACTCTGTGCAGTGATACGGTTTCTCTCCTGTGTGGATGTGCTGGTGTACTTTGAGATGACTCGGTGTAGTAAAACTCTTCCCACACTCCAAGCAGTAGTGATTTCTCTCCTTGCTGTGTTTCTGTGCTTGTCTGTGAGATGTCTTCATGTGGAGGGTCCTGGAACGTCTTCTAAATGCCATATTATTATATATATATCACCAGTATCACCAGCAGGTTAACTTTCCTCTTGGTGGAATGTCCTGCCGTGTTTACAAAAAACGCATTTAAGCTGAGTAGAAAAGCGCAGATGAAGACTTCATACTGGGCATCTTTAATTTCTGTAAGAAAAAAAAAAAGAAATATAAGCTCAATCTGCAATGAAACAAAACTAGTCTAATACAAATCAAGAATTCCATCAACTGGCAGAAAATGTAAAGAAAGAATTAACATCCATCATATGAGGAAAAGCCAATAACCTAATTACTCAATTTTCTTTACATATAAACCTCTCAATATTCTACACATATAAACCACTGATGTCATGTTGAAAAGCAGTGTGTCATGTTGCTATACCAATACCAATAATACCAATAACTTAGCTAAATTGATTGTGATTATTCAAAAACCACCAGCATTCCATACTGTGGTCAACAAAGTGATCCCAAACTCAATATGTTTCATCCTTCATATATTTTTTACTGAATGTAACAAGATCCTCTGCTTTACAAGGTAAAAGAGCTGACATAAAAATTTTGCTACATGTGTATTTTTTTTTCTCAGAGCTTATTCGTCTTATTAGGCCTTACTCCAAGTCATGTATAGACAATTCAGTGCATAATAAATTGTGTTCCGTCAAACCTCTTGGAGTGTTTACACTTCACAGTCATGGACCCTTTCAAAACTATAGGTTAGTGACTGTTACAAAACAAAACAAAACAAAAATATAAAATATCAATACTTCCTCCTTATAAACTTCCATTGACTGAAAAGGCATTAATAAATGAAAGGCAAGGACATCTATTTAAGTCATGGGTCTAAACTTCCAAAAAAGTCTCCGCAGTTGCAAGTGAAGATGAGTCATGGCTCACCACTTTGTGCCACACTTTGTGACAGAACCATCAAGCAGTTCAAAAAGAACATTAACAAGATTGCTAAGAATTTGGGTCTTTCACCATCTACCCTACATTAAATTGTGAAATCCAGAGAAATCTCAGTCTGTGAAGATGACTGTTGAATATGCGTGACCTTGGAGCCTTTTGATGGCACTGCATGAGAAACTGTGATGCTGCTGTGTTAAATACAGCCACATGGGCTCAGGAGTACTTTGGAAAACTGTTATCACTAAACACAGTACGCCACTGGATCAAAAAATGCAACTTGAAACACTTTTAAGCAAGGAGAAAGCCATTCATCAATTCTATGAAGAAACACTGCTGAGTTCACTGGGCCCGAGCTCATGTCAGACGGTCTGAGAGACAGTGTAAATGTGTCCTGTGGTCAGATGAGTCCATGTTTCAGCTTGTTTATGAGATAAATGGACGTCAAGGTGAAAAAGCCAAGATTTGTCATGGTACGAGGTGCATCAGTGGCCATGGTTTGGGTCACTTGCATTTATGTGAAGGTACCACTGACACAGAGGAGTGTATTAGGATTTTAGAGGGACATATGCTGCCTTCAAAACAATGTTTTATCTTGAGATGTCCATGATTTTTATTAGCAAGACAATGCCTGGCCTCATCATGCACATGTTAAAATAGTGTGGCTGTATGGAGACAGTGTGCTTGAATGGCCTGTCTGCAGTCCAAGTAACTTCTGCTTCTCTTTTAGAACTGCAGTAGCCACCATGCTGCAATGAAAAAAAGACACGACCCGTCTTACTCGCCCCGAACAGCTGTACCGCACCGGCACATTTCAAGCCTTCCTGTGTTGCTAGGAGATAGATTTGCTGCCTGTCCGGCTATGGACATGTTGCTGACATTGTCAGTCACAAGAGCAAGTTTTTTGTTTTGTGAATTCCCCTCTTCACATGCTTTTCTCAGCACTGTCCCAATATTTACTCCTGTATGTGTGTCGTTCAAAACGCATGTTTGAAGAACGTAATTCTTAATTTGCCAGTCAGAATCAATGAAATGACAGGTTAAGGTTATGTACGCTTCTATGGTACACGACGTTCAGCCATCTGTTGTGTTGCGGTTCGCTCTGCGTTTTATGTCATCTTGTACTTCTTGATACAGTTTAGGTATGCAGCTTTCACTGAAGTGTAGTCCAGAGGGAATGTTGTATTCCGGCTCCAGCGTGTGCAGAAGTTCATGAAGGCTTTCATTTTCTACTACACTATAGGGCCGCATATCCTTGCAAATGAAATAGGAGATGGCAGACGTAATACTGATCACTCTTTTGAAAGTAGTTTGGTCATTTCACTTTTTTCTTACTTGAGTCTTTTTTTCAATGGTATCCTTGGTTAACGTCATTTACTACTACTAAACAATAGTACTAAGCAAAGTAGCTTTAGTGCTGTACAGATTTACAGTAAAACTCTTTGTTTAGCTGACCGCATTTCACAATGTTAATTGCATTTGTTTACAGTATCTACTCACTGTTACGTTGTTTTCTGCTTATGACTGCTGTATTGGACATTTAATAAAATGGTCAAATTAGATTTGGTCTGCATTTGTGAGCTCATAGAAATATAACAGATTGTGTGGAATCACATCGAATCGTGTCGCAAAACAAACAAGTACTGTACCAAATCGCATCGCGGCAATTTTCCAAGTATCAAAAATGATCCTATTGTTGATTAAAAGAATCGATGTAAGATCGTATCATGATGAATCTCTCAATTTACACCCCTACTACATTTTACAGCACTAATCAAAGACCTACTACATCAGAAATTAACTAAGGCCTATAGTTATTTTAATACTGTGTTTAGAGTTATTCAGTTTTGCGTGTTTGCTACCAAAGCACCTACCCTATTAAACAATTAGAATAAAAACCATCTTTTTACCTAAAACACCACTGAATCTGAATTTATTGGTATAGAAGTACTGTTTACTGATAAAACTACAAGGATCTGCAGGAAGAATGACTTCATCATGAATGTGACTACCTGCCCCCTCACACCCTATTTACACTCTTGCTATACACAATCTTATACTCTTCCTAATCTGCACCTCCACAGACATTCACAGCTCTCACACTACACCCCTCTAAACAGACCACCTCCAACACCCACCATAGACACTCTTACCAGCTCTTAATCTACCAGCCATTAACCTGCACCCCCCACCCAGATATTCACAGATCATTTATACTGTTCTATAATAAACTACTATTTATTCTCCACATTTGTACATATAATGGACTCTTTTTGATGATGAATTCAACAGACTTTGTTTATATTTAGCCACACTAGCTAAAAGCCATTGATAACAAACTGTTATCCAGCTAACATAAAGCAGCTGTCTGAGTCACGTTTACCTGAGATTTTGTACTCAGTTCTTTAAAAGGCTGATGCTACAGACAATAAAACCACCAATAATACAATTTCTCTGACATCAGCTCAGTATAAAGAGCTAACATTAGTGTAAAGTCTATTTGTGTTTGTGTTTAAGTTCACCTCATTAATAAAAAGTCCTAAAAAACAGAGAATTTCATATAATTTACAATTTACTAAAAGAACTTCTCAAAGTCAATATATGCAGTTCATGTCATTGTAAAGACACCAGTACTAGTTTGGTTGAGTCATTTGCTACAGGATAAATGCACATTTTAAAAAGATTATAATACTAAGCAGTGACATTAAAATCCATATCCTACACATAAATACAAACAAGAATAATCACTTAATCACGTGATCAACTGCTGCAGCCAGTGTATAAACCCACTTTAAGCTTCGTGTATTCTTATAAAAACACCTCCATATCATACACAGAAAGGGAAAAGCCACATCTGCTGCTCCTCAGACACACAGCCCATTTACAAACCACCATCTGAGACACCCAAACACACACAAATTAAGATATTTACATTAACTATCTGAATATTTCAGACGGTAGACATTAATAAACACAGCGTGAAGAAACACATAAGTTCCCCAAACCCGGTCACAGCAGCTCCTCCTCTAAATCACTGCAGGATGAGCAGCGTTTCCATCAATGAGGCTCTAACAGACATTTAAAGACCCTCATCAGTCAGTTACACCGACATATAAGGACTGAAACCAGCTTAAAGCAGCACTTACAGCTCTTTAATCTCAGACTGAGTCTCCGTTTCAGAGTCTCCCCCAAACACACCGCGCTGTCCTCATGGAGTTCCACCAGTTCCATAGCATCCGTGTTCGTGGCCCACCGTAAGACCCCTATTACACGGGAACCACGTATTCACCCTAAAATATGCTCCTCCCACATTAGCTGACACAGCCTGTACCTCCCACCACAAACAACTGGCAGAAAAGGGAGATCAGAATGCAGCTGCTAGCCTTCCGTTAGCTACAGCAGAGCTAAAACACGGCCCATCACACTCACAGCACATAGAAAAGATCTGGAAAAATAAAATACATCAATAAAATGAAGTATATTTTAAAAAGAAACCTTTGATAGAAGAAGGTAAAAACACTCTTTCAATAAGTTGAGGTGGTAGTGTCTAGGAGTGCCCTGTGTGCTCTGTGTGTGCAGGGGCTAGGAATGTGAATTGGGGGGCTAGGAATGTGAATTGGTCCATTGGGAGAGGGCCTCTTACTTTATCCCTTCTTCTCTTAGGTCCAAATAGATGAGATCATTTTAAAAAGAACCATATGCTCTGTCTCCTGTTTCAACAACAAGAACCATATATATATATGCTGTTGGTCAGTCTGTTCGGGAGGGGACATTTAGAATTGGCACAGATCCTCTCTCAGGTACTCTATAGTGCTTGATATGATACTGTTTTACTATGTAATAAACCCTTTTACTGGCAACTCAGTATCGGCGGATACTATCTTCTTAACGGTAAGACATGTGTATATCGGTCACTGCGTGAAAGTGGGCTTAGAGAAATAGTCGGATCAGGTTAGAAAATAAAAAGGGGGAACGAGAAGTGAAAAGTAAAAGCCCAGGGCCCTGGGGAATTGGATTAAGGGGAAAATAGTTTACTGGGAAAAAAGAAGTTAAAGAAAATAGAGAAGAGACGTGAAGAGTTAAAAAGAATAGAAAGGATAAGAGTTAAAGAGAATAAAAGAAGTTAAAGAGCATAGTGATGATATGAGTGAAAAGAGAAATAAGAAAAGGGAAGAGAATAGAGATGATAAGAGTTAAAAGTGAAAAGGAGCCGCAGATTTGGACCAAAGCCCTCTGGGAGGCGGTTTTAGACGGGCCTAAAATCCTGGAAAATCACTAGGTGAATTTCTGGGTCAGTTCTAAGGAACTGGAGGTGTGGAAGGGAAAATTCAATTATAAAGTTCCCACTCGAACACTAGTTGACGAAGCAGCTTTTTATTGAATATTCACACCTCATAAAGGTAGCATAAATTTAGAAGAAAAAGAGAAAAAGGAGCGGCAGGAAAAAGCATGCTATAGGATAAATGTTTTGTTCTGTGTCTTCTGTGTCTGTGAGAGCGCTGTGTGTGCTTCTGTGTGAGGGGGATTGCCCCCCCCTTACTGGGCGTGTGCGGAGCTGGCTTCTCCGTATGCGTATGTGTGTGTGTGTGTGGTGCTTGACTTGGAGGTGCTCCAGCTGTGTGACTGGCTTTAAGAATGTATAAATGATAATTTGTAAAAAAAAAAAATATGAACCTCTATGAGAGGGCATTTCCCTGATATCGTTAATACCATGAGCTTTCCTGGGGGACATTGTTAGATTTAAGATTTAAGATAAAGTTAAGATTTATGAGCCTCATAAAGAATAAGAGGACTTTTATAAATTAGTATCCATGAGCCTCATTCAGGGGACTTGATAATAATAATAATAATAATAAGCTTCATGAGCCCCCAAGAAGGACGTTTATAATTTTAGAGATGAGTGGAGAGACCAGTGAGGATGTTTGTGTGTGTGGGTGAAGAAAATTGAATGAGTATGTGAGGTGTTGGAGTGAAATAAACTGAAATGTCTTTTTTGATGATAATTTGGTGTTTAAAGGAGGAAAACATTTGTTATAGATAAAAAATGACCTAAGTGTTGGCAGATAATGGGCGTAAATCATATTGGATAGTTTTTGTGTGGTCCATAATACCTAGTGGGTTCATTTGATACTTGATTCTGATCTGTTTTTTCCTTTGTCCGCCTATGGTGTGAGGATGGAGGGACTAGAGAAAGGAAGGGGGGGAGCCCAGCAGCTCCAGTGCTGACACGGATTGACCGCATACCCATCTGGCTCCAATCTGATTAAGGCCAGTGTGTTTTATCCACAAAACTCTTTTTGACAAATACCTGCATTTTAAATATATGTATGTATGCTTATTTATAGTCATTATTGTTGATATATATACAATCTGCTTCATTTATAGGCTATTATAAGAATATTTCTCTATTTGGGGGTTAAAGAGTATAACTATGTGTTTATATGATACTAGGGGCTGTAGTTTAAGGGAAAAAGAGAGGTTTGGCAACAGACTGACTGTTCAAGGTATTTAATTAATTAAGGCAACATACTTAGTTGGTTTAAACTCTGTTAAGAATGGCAAATATGAGTTTTATTGTTTGTGCATGGTTTATTCTGATTTGAGCAGCGCTGGGGATTCAATGTTGAGACTATTGGATGATTTAAGGTGCAGGGGTTTGAACATTGGGTGATAAATAGGTGATTGTCTTGCTGCAAATAGGAACACATCGGGTGATAGCTGGTCCCTTGTGGGTGTGTGATTACTTTGAGCTTTGTATAGGATTAGATTTTTATTTGTTGGATATTTGAGGAAATTTTATTTGCAATTAGGCAGATTATTTGTGTGTTTGGTCCATATTATAGGTGGATTTATTGAAGTGAATTGCTAATTACATTAATGTTTCCGATTTCTTTGGAGTTGGCAAATTTCTTTCATTTTTACTGATGTGGTAAATTAGTGGTTTGAAAACAGAGAGAAAGGGAGAAGTAATTTTAATTTTAGTAAATAGTCTTAATTCACAATAAGGGAACATAAGGGAGTAGTTACAATGTCGACAAAGGACATTAAAATTTCGAAAGTAATCACGCCTGTTGATGTAGTGCAGAAGAATAATCCTTTAGTTAAAGGCATTGCAAAGATATCGGAGAAATGGCATAAGCGTTGGTCTGAAATTGACCAACCATGGCCAGTGGAGGGGACCCTTAATCCAGATGTAATTAAAACAATGCAGGTGCTTGTGTCCACATATAAGGCACATCAAAAGAAGGGTAAAAAGGGGGAAAAACGTTAAGAAAAGAGACAAGTAGAGCTTGGTATTCTCCAGTTGTTTGAAAACAAGGAACAGAAAAGGATAAAAGGAACAGAAAAGGATAAAAGCGGCCAAAGATAAGAGAGATAGAGGTGCAGAAGAAATAGGAGAAAATGTAAAGGAAAGAGAAAAATTAATGGCAGAAATTAAAGCACCTTTCTCACATATGGATCCAGTAAAGAGACCCCCACATTATGAGAAGGAGGTGACGTTTAAGGAAATCTATCCCCAGCTCCCATTGATCAGCCAGGAAGGTGAATATCGCATCAGAGATGAGGATGACCGGATAATTGAAACAGGTCAAGCGGAAACAACTATAAAGATGTATCCAAGTTCCAAAAGTAAGAAGAAAATGACACGGTTGGAAACCAAGGGTGAACTGAGGATCAGGAGGATGGAATCGGGAGATGATGGCGATCAAAGTGACCTGGAAGGGATCATGGGTGGATATGACCCTGCAGTCAGGCGAATATTGATGAGAGCGGAACAGAGGGGAGATAAAACATGGAGGAAAGAGGACTTAGGAGATGATAGTTCTAACGAGAGCGAGGATGGAGACAGTGATGAAGACTCAGAGAGTGAGGGTCTTTTGTCTTCGAAAGGGTTTTTTCCAGCGGCATCTAGTACCAGAATAGGAGAGGATAAAAAGAGAGCTTTAAGAGAGGTTGAGAGAAGTATAGATCAATGCCTTTCGTACTTGGATAAATCCATTAAACCAGAAAGCTGAAAAGCACTGGAGAACCAATTAAAGGAGCTGCAAATTCAGAAGAAAGAGTTGCGGAAAGGAGGCTCCCAAAAATTGGATGTGAAATATGCATTGCGCACAAGAAAAGGGAAGACACACGAGAAGATGTGTCCAGTGGTCATCCGAGGACAGAGCTTGGAATACAAGCCTTGGCAAAACACAGTATGTCAGATATACTTGAAAAGTTACCTACTCTTCAGGATGGAGCACATCCTTGGATTTCGAAGTTGGAAGAGATCATGGTGGGAACACAGCCTGCAATAGGAGATATTAAGAGACTTTTGGCTAATCTCCTTGGAGTCCCAGCCATGGAAGAGATTCTACAGAAAGCAGGACTTAATCGATATGTGGGGACTGCTGTGAATGATCCGGAGTTGTTTTCTGCAATTAGAGGTCGAGTATGGAGAGCGCTGAGAGACACATTTCCGACAAATGTACATCCTGATAATATTCTTATTGAGCCACTGGGACAGGAAGAAAACCCGAGGGCCTATGTGTCAAGAGCCCATCAAGTGTGGAGAAATGTTACAGGAAATGACCCGGATTTGAATCAAATGGAGCAGTCAATTTTGCGAGCTAAAATACAGAAGGGGCTGCCCCTACCAGTGAGGAGTAAACTGGCAGAGGTGGTTGGTCTTGGAAGTATGGCAAAGGGTGTTTATACGGATCACATAGCCCATCAAGTGGAGCTATATAGGAAAAAGGAACATGACCAGAAAGAACAGGACCAAGAAACCCTCAGAAAACTGAATCAAATACAACTGGTGGATAACAAGAAGAAAGAGAAGAAGCAGGCTTTGGTCTCCGCAAAATCAACCATTACCACAACCACAGTCGAATCAGGTTCAGCCCCAGTCGTTTCAGCCATCGTTGGTGGTTCCAGTGGCTGCCCCCCCACAGCCAACTTTGGGTCAAGCGCAGACCTGGAGAGGAAGAGGTCGAGGAAATTTAGGAAGAGGAAGAGGAGGAAGGTTTAATCCAAATTTTCAACAGTCCTTAGAAGTGTGTTATAATTGTGGACAGTTTGGCCACTTTGCTCGTGAGTGCAACAGACCAGGAGAAAATTTCAGAGGAAATTTCAGAGGAGGCTTCAGGGGCCAACCAAGGCCATTTGGGGGACCGGTGAACCCTTATAGGGGTCCGGAACCGGGATTCTAGAGGTGCCCAGAGGACCCGAGAGGGGGGTGTCAGCTGGTAGCATCAGGGCCGGAGAGAGATCCAACAATAAAGGTGAAGGTAAATAATCGACCATTGGAAGTGATGGTGGATAGCGGAGCTGCTTTCACCTGTATTCGGCCTGAAGAAGCTATACATCTCCCCATGTCTGGCCAATGGATTCGGACAATCGGGTTTGAGGGAGTGAAACAGCTGATTCCTCTCACAGAACCAATTGAGCTCTGCTATAAAAATATGAAGACGACTTTACCTATACTGGTATCAGAACATGCACCTATTGCACTTTTGGGAAGAGACGCTTTGTGCAGATTGAACTGTACAATAAATTGTACACCTGACGGCTGTCTGGTGGAAGTGCCAGATGATATGGCTCACCAATTATTGATGACAACGGCGACTGAAGCTTCTTCAGTATTTTGGATTGGAAATCTTAGTGCAGATTTTTTGGAGCCAGCTAAGTTGTGGGAGAAGTTTCTTGTAGCGAACATGCCTGATGCGAAGCTTCCAGAGTATCCATTTCATTGCACGCTCAAGTATTTCAAGGATGCGGCTCAATCAAACTCGGAGGAATGGTTGAGTTGTCAACCAAAGCAAGTTCAGCTTCGGTCATGCTGCATAATTTTGGGACCACAAGGAGCAGCTATGAAGATAGATAGAGATGATTATTTGGATAAAGAGTTTGACATTGAGAAGAGTGTGCCACATGTGACTTTGTTGGTGGCTGAAGAATATGAGCAGAAGCACATAGGAGAAATGATGGTAGAAGCAGAGGAAGCTGTTTTTGAACCAGTGAAAGAGAATCTTGCCATCTGGAGGAGTAAGGATCAGCGGTTTGTTAAGATTATGATTACTGCTCAAGGACAGGGACAGCCACAAACTGTGCGGATGACACATGAGTCAATTTGCAGTGTTAAGATGGATTCAGACTCTTTGAAAGAAGAGATGTTGCGACAAGTTCCAGAATGTTTGTGGTCGCGGCATAGTACTGATATTGGACGTGTGAAGTCAGCCCAACCAGTGAAAGTTGAACTTCGACCAGGAGTTAAACCTCCTTGGAAGAACCAGTATCCACTGAAAGAAGAGGCAATCAGAGGGATTGAACCACTGATTGAAGGACTTGTGAAAGCAGGTGGGGACTTCCAGATCGGATATCCTCAGATAATGGGAAAGAGTTTGTGGATAAGACGATGAAATTGATTTTGCAAAAATTGGGAATTAAACAGCGTCTTGGTGCAGTCTATCATCCGCAAAGTCAAGGGATTTGTGAAAAAAATGAATGGGGTTCTGAAAAATCGTATTGTTAAAATCTGCCAGCACACAGGTTTAAATTGGGTAGCGGCACTGCCGCTGGCGCTAATGGTGTGTCGCTCAAGTGAGCTGCGTGATTTGCATATGACACCTCATGAGTTGGTCACAGGAAGATGAATGCCAACGCCTTGTTTGCGTACAAGTGGAAAGGGTCCAAGCGTAGCCCTTTTGGAAGATGAAATGCGAGCGTACGTTAAATATATGGCTAATTTGCATAAAAGAATATATACGTACGTTTCTGACAGGCAAAGAAAAGATGAAGCTCAGGAGAGGCTTGATGAGCAAAAGAGGAACACAGTGCAACCTGGAGACAAGGTGTTCGTGAAGGTGTTTAGAAGGAAGTGGTATAACGAACGCCGTGAAGGACCATTTGAAGTTGTTCGCAGTTCGGGAACGGCGGTCCAGGTTAAAGGGTCTCCAACGTGGTATCATTTATCGCATTGTGTTAAAGCACCAAGGGAAGAGGTGCCACGCTTACAGGGAAGAGATGTTGAAGGCTCAAGAGAGCCAGGAGAAAATGGGGAAGAACATGCAGAAGAAGAAGAGATGCATACAGATCTCCAGAGTCAAAATCCAGAAGAGGAGGGTGTCCAGGTTGTTGACAACGTTGATGATTCTATGTACTTTTCTGATGATGCCAGAAATGACTCTGCAGTTAATGGACAGGAAAGAAGATTTGGTGACATTGATTTTCAACATGTCCCAGAAACAGCAGAGCCTATTTCAGTGGAGAGCGAAGCGCCAAAGGTTTCAAAGGACTGTGATTCCGCTGCGGGAGAAATCAGAGATACAGTTAGACGACGAAGTCCAAGACCAGTTCGGAAAAGGGTCAGACCAAAACGTTACGAGGACTAGGGCTGAAAAGACCTTAGGGAATTCTACTTTTTTAGCATTGAAGGTTACTGAAGGTATAAATATGTCACAGTTACTAACGTTGGCGCCTCAAATGATTGCGACAACATCAACCCCTTTGCAGACAGTAGTCAGAACTAAGTTAGGAAGAGCGGTTTCTCTCCCCTGTAGATGTGGAAGATTTAATGTGGGTGGTAATAATCCTCCTATGTGGAAAAATAGTCGTGGTGAAGATGTGCTGTTAACAGGACCTGAAGTTGATATGGTGCCTCGTGATCAGAGGAAGTATCTGTTGTTTAATGACTGGAGGTGGTTAAAAGTTAGAGATGATTGTTCACTTTTAGTGCGTAATGTAACATGGGAAGATCAAGGGGAATACACATGTACTTATTTTGAGCCAGAGTTGAAATTTGTTCCATTTCAAAATGTGTGGAGAGAGGGTTATATAACACGTAAGGTAGTGGTTGTGATAGAAGATTTGAGTTCTTCTGGAATTTTCAGGGTGGCTACAAGAGTCACCACAGCAACCACTCCAAGAGTGAATATTACATTGAGGAAGCTTACTACTTTAGCTCCGGAAACAACTAAGAATGTTAATACATCAATTCAGGCTGTTACTTTAGCTACGATTTTGAAGGGGATGAATGCTACTACAGGGAAGGCGACAATTTCTTCTTTTGTTACTGGGGGAAATATTACAAGTGAGGTTGGGCTAAGGGCAACCTATGCTAATAAAACAGTGACAACATCTCTGTCACCTAGGAAAGTTGTAAATATAACACAGACACCTGGTATGACATTATTGAATTTTAAAGAAAGAGTAAATATAACTCAGAAACCTATGCTAAAAATAGAGCTTAGTGTAAATAGTAGTAAGGAGATTTTGGAACCTAGAAAACAGAAGGAGGAACAGCATGATGCAGATTCATCTGTGACAGCTCAGAGGACTATTTTAGACGAGGAAGAGGGGTTTTTTGACTTTGACTGGACACCAGAGGACATGACTAACCAGTATCGTGTATTACAGAAGAGAGAAACTAAGTGGAAGGCATATGGATTTGATTCTTCGGTGTTACAAATCGCAGACCCATGGGCAGGTAGGAACTTATGGTTCCAGCAGTTAACTCATTCTGTAAGATCGGTTAAGAAGCTGAATTGTCCATGTGTGGTGAAAGTTCCAACACCAGGCACATGGCCTTCAATTTTAGAGACGGTACCAGAACCATTAAGTGCTAAATGTCAATCATATGCATTATCGTGGCTGTTATATCAGCAGCAAGCAGCAGAAGATAAGGTGATGGCCCTGTCAGTGCATCTGTTTAGACCTAAACATAATTGTTCTTGGTTGGGAGAGTTACCATATGTGAATTTACTTGATCAGCATGAAAATATGATAACAGCAGTCCCTGATCCGTTGGAAGTGAAATTTGTGGGGGCTAAAGACTGTTTTTGTTCAGATGGTACTCATAAGGGGCCTGGAAAGTTTATGGGGATATCAGACTGTAACAACTATATTATGGACTTGGGTGAGCGTAAATATGAGGCTATGAATGACTTGTATAAAGTGACTTTTCAGGTACCACATCGCAAACTGAGTAGAATTTTGATGGTGCGGAACCAACAGTTGCCGGGAAATGTAACTATAGGGAATTTTAAGGATATTTGGTGGGTTTGTGGTGATAAGGCATATATATTCCTACCGTATGGGTGGATAGGATGCTGTTATATGGCGATGTTGAAGCTGCCATATGAGGTTTTTACTGTCCAGAAGGGAAAAGTTTCTGATGAGGTTCAATCTGAGGCTATTTCAGGAAGTAGGAAGAAAAGGGAACTAGCACAATTTCATAATCTGGAGTCCTATCATTGGAGGATAAGCCTAGGAGAGAAGTGGGGTATAGGATTATTTCCATGGTATGGGGTGACATTTTTGGCAGATCACATTGATAATATTACCTACACCCTACAGGGTTTTGCAAATGAGACTATAAGAGGTTTTGAATACTTGTCAAATACTCAAAAGAGTCACAGACTGACATTGCTGAAACATGACATGGCTCTTGATTATCTTTTGGCCAAACAAGGGGGCCTATGTGTGGCTCTAAACTTAACTGGTGATGCTTGTTATACTTTGATTCCTGATAGTTCTGACAATATGACTAGTGTCATAGATGCATTGAAGCATATAAGGGATGCGTTTGGCCCATCGGAAGGAGCTGGATGGTCGGCGAATGCTTGGTTGCAGGAAAAATTAGGACCATTGGGAGCAGTGTTGGTTCAGATTATGGTAGCAGTTCTTATATCCTTGAGTGTGATGTTCTGTTGCTGTACATTGGTGTTAACTTTTGCGAAGGCAATGATATTGAGATGGGTTGGAGTTGTGATGCCTGGAGATCAGGTTCAGATGCCATTATTACATAGGACTGACACAGACGATGACGAAGAAGTGGTGATAGAAGGTGAACTGATGGAGAAATGTCCATTTTCAATATCTATTCTTATTATAATCTTAACATTTATTTCTTTTACTATTTAGGGTATTTAGTAGTCTCTTACTATAGAGTGGGATGATAGCAGAGGGAAATGAAAAAGGGGATTTATAACTGAGAATAATGTGAAAGTATGATACTGTGAATTTCACATTTACTTATAAGGTGTTAACCCATATGTGATGTTTCAATTTGCATCTGTTGTTTTTGCAAAAGATACTGGTTGGTGGTTTTCTTTCTTTTCTTCAAGAACAATGCTGGGGGAAGACCACTGCAAGAGTGGCTGGATCTTTGGGGACCCTGATGTTCATGGACAATAAGATTGGACTGAAGGACTTTAAATAAGGACACTGTGATACAATGCCCAGAGTCAACACATCATCGACACTACACTGAGAGTCGACGCTGCTGAAGAGTTGCAGTGTGATACATTTTTATGCCTTCATATATATTTGCATAGTATTGGATTTTGTTATGTCATATGGTAAGGGGTGATATTGATAGAGGACTTTTATAAGAAAGTGATAATCTTAGTAAGACATACTAGTTGGATTGAGTTGTTTATTGCATGAGTAGTACTTAAATTTATAATATGCTCTTTGTTTAATTGTTTGAAGACTGATGTTTTCTGTTATGGGGTAAGTACATTGGGACCTCAGATGTTTTTTTCTTTTTTCGGATGCTTAGGGATAGGGGTGTTAGGCAGGGAAAGGTCCATTGGAAGGTCCGATGGGTCGACCAGCCTGAATGTGGACATTGTTTTGATTTTATTTTCTGAGGTTTCCATATGTATTTGCTTAAGTCATATCCATATACAATTTGTCAGAATACCTCCTTTAAAGTGGTCTGGAGTACTTTATGTGGTCGCCTAAGGCAGAGGGGCCGTGAGAGAATTTTTCCTGTCTAGATTGTTTGAGGGATATTTCAGGAATGATAAGCTGCCGGACAGGTTTTTTCCCTCTCACACTCCAGAAAGCTGTTGCATTGCTAAGGTTATGCTATAGGAAGAATTGTTATTTAGTTACAACTACAAATATGTATAAGCTACTTGTTTGTTTTTCGAGACTTTAAGGAAGTCTCGAAGGGGGGAAAATGAAGTATATTTTAAAAAGAAACCTTTGATAGAAGAAGGTAAAAACACTCTTTCAATAAGTTGAGGTGGTAGTGTCTAGGAGTGCCCTGTGTGCTCTGTGTGTGCAGGGGCTAGGAATGTGAATTGGGGGGCTAGGAATGTGAATTGGTCCATTGGGAGAGGGCCTCTTACTTTCTCCCTTCTTCTCTTAGGTCCAAATAGATGAGATCATTTTAAAAAGAACCATATGCTCTGTCTCCTGTTTCAACAACAAGAACCATATATATATGCTGTTGGTCAGTCTGTTCGGGAGGGGACATTTAGAATTGGCACAGATCCTCTCTCAGGTACTCTATAGTGCTTGATATGATACTGTTTTACTATGTAATAAACCCTTTTACTGGCAACTCAGTATCGGCGGAGTTTTTCTTCACAACATCTAAACACCATCGCCACTAAATAAACAACAACATATATAGAGAGATAAAATAGATAAATAAGTAATGAACCTGTTTTGAAAATGTACAGAGTGAAAAGTGCAGATTCTTCTTTTGAAATGTAATCATTCAAATTAAAAAGAATTAAGTGAGAGAAATACTGAAGTAAAGTGAAGTATATTTAAAGGAGCATTTTTTTAGAAGAAGGTAAAAACACTCTTTCAGCATGAATTTGGGGCCTGGAGTTCTCTGTGTGCTCTGTTTGTGCAGGGGTTAGGAATGTAAATTGGGGGGCCCCTTGGTCCAAAGCCCCATAGGAAGTAGGCCTCTCACTTTCTCCCTTCTTCTCTTAGTTCCAAATAGATGAGATCATTTTAAAAAGAACCATATATTCTGTCTCCTGTTTCAACAACAAGAACCATATATATAAGCTGTTGGTCATGCTGTTCTGGGGGGGACATTTAGAATTGGCACGGATCCCCTCTCAGGTACTTTATAGTGCTTGATATGATGCTGTTTTACTTTGTAATAAACATTTTACTAGCAACACAGTATCAGCGGAGTTGTCCTTCACAACATCTACACACCATCGCTACTTCATAAACAACAAAAGTAATGAAGTATTTGTATCTCCCTTGTAGCTCTTTCAGCTTTGTTGAGTATTTTGTTCCTTCATCATCCAGAAATCCCTGAAGATGGAAGACCTGTCTAAAGGACACAGTGATGGTATAATATCAGACGAACAGCAGGGGGCACTACTTTAATTCTGGAATTCTTAAAGTAATGAAAGGTCATCTGTTGAAATGTGGTCTCTCACTGAGAAACGGAAAAGTCTACAAATAATAGTTTACAGATTAACCCTTTTTAAAGGTTCCACAGTGCACTTCTGGCCAATATTGGGAAAGTTACTGAATTTGGCACATCTTCCACCATTTATGATGGTATTTTTTGTGGAAAAACAAGACCCACATCACACAGTCAAATCATGAGCAATTTTGCTGCTGATCTAGAAGATTATGGATTTCTCTGTAAAGGAAAAAATGACCTTAAGACTCTGCTCAGCTGTGATAAACCTGCCTATTCATTCTTAACCAACACAAAAGGCCACAACACTTTCCATGGATGGGACAAATGTACCCAAAAGAGGGAGGCATCTTCATTATCGAATGAGTTTTCTAGAGACAGCTTTTGTCTTGACAACCGATGCTTCTTTTGAACAAATGACAGATGAGGACCATCACTGTAGGTCTCACCATATTTTGGCCTTAGTATAGGATTCATATCTAGCTTTCCTGTGCATTACATGCATTCATGTCTGCAAGGGTTTTCCAAAAGGCTGATTAGTCTGTGGGAAGTCACTGAATATAGTCAAGTCAAGTCAAATTTATTTATATAGAGATATACAGATGTTGTCACGAAGCAGCTTTACAGAGAATCCGGGTTCACGCCACCAGTGAGCAAGCCTTGGCGACAGTGGCAAGGAAAAACTCCCTCAACAGGAGGAAGAAACCTTGAGAGGAACCAGACTCAAAAGGGCAACCCATCCTCCTCTGGTCAACACCGGATAACAGCACAGACACAAAAAAGTATAAATGGATACCAATGTAAGGTACACAAAATTGGGCTAATGTGGTCAAATTTTCTGCTTTTGGTGAGAACTCTGGCTGCAGCGTTCTGGACTAACTGAAGCTTGTTAAGGTATATCGAGAGTTTCTGCTGTACACATACCTGTTATTCTGCTTCCCATCTTGGACACTACTGTGCACAATAACCTCCTGCTGCTCTTCACAGGATTGAGAGTTTTAGTGAACTAGCCTTGTGCCAAAAGTATAATGATCATGACTGCTGACTTGTTTTGTACAATTTCAGACAGCTTTACAGAACATTTGCCTGAAGATGTGCAGATTCATGATCCTCTGGATTCAGTCTCTGCTTTTCCTGATGAAAACTATGCAAAAGATCTGAAAAATATGATCAGAAAAGCAGAGCTCAAGCTGTTCATCTATCAGAGCAAACGTCTGCGTCATATGGACGTTGTGTAAAAAGACCTTAAAGAGGACATCTCAGTGAACCAGAGCCAGAAAGGAGACAATTTCAGGAAATTCATCTAGCTGAATTCTGCCTAAAGCTTAAAGATGGTGAGAGTTCATTCTGCACAGGAGATCAAATCTCTTTAGCTGGAAACTCTGAACAGTCAGATAACAGAACGTACATTATATACCACAGATTCAGCGACAGGACTCAACTATTGGCAAGATGGCGCCCACCGTGGCAGATGTCTTTGTTTGTTCCTCCTGCAACCAATGCTATTTATTATTTATTTTAACTTTAGTATTTATTATAAATGTACAGTGTACCTACGGAACAGTTAGTTACAGTAGAGAGGCACTCCTGGAGATCGGTAAAGTTCGTCATCAACTTACTTTTAGGCTTCCTGACTTCAACTTTCTTTTACGCTCGTACTCCACCAGCACCAGCCGGCAAAGCCCAGCAGCACCGGCCTCCGGTGAGCGGCGCAGCACGACGAACAGAGCGGCCAAAGTGGAAACGGGGCAAGAGAGGTGGGCTACAAGCTAGGCTAAAGGCTAGCGCTATGCAATCACCGCTACCTAGCCTGTTGCTAGCTAATGTTTGCTCCCTCGAAAACAAGCTGGATAAGCTGAGAACCAGAATAACAACTCAGCCTGAGATTAGAGAGTGCTGTGCTCTTATTCTCACGGAAATCTGGATCTCGGACAGAACGCTAGACTCAGCGATCCAGTTAGAAACGCAGTCCGTCCACTGCAGGGTGAAGGAGGTTATTGTTGTGAAATGTGCTGTGTTGTGTGTGAATGTGCTAAAGTTGTATTTTAGGCTGCCTATTTTGTGTTTCTCCTTATATGGTCATGTTTGTCACACCTGTTACTTGTCCTGTATAAGCTGGGTCTAATCTTGGCATCAGTCCATCTATAAAACTGTGTCAGTCCATTGTCTTACGGGCTGGCTGGCTGTCTGGAACCTGCGTGTGCAACGAATAAACTTCACTTGTCCATACAACAGATGGAGTCCCCTGGTTTGGAATCAAGAGGGTTTGGATTCTTCAAGGGACAGCACGGCAGCGTCGGGGAAGAACAAAGGCAGCGGTGTCTGCATCTACATGAACAACAGGTGGTGTTCAGACGTAAAAGACTGTTGAAAAACACTGTTCAGCTGACTTAGAACTGCTGATGGTGAAGTGCAGACCCATCTATCTGCTGAGAGAGTTCAGTGTTGTAAACAACACGCCATTAGTAAACAAGAGACTGCACACCCGGACGCCGTGTTCATTGTTGCCGGCGACTTCAACCACTGCAAACTGAGGACTGTCCTCCCCAAAGTATCATTAGCACGTGAGCTTTCCGACGAGGGAGAGCATCACACTCAACCAAGTCAACAGCAACGTGAGGGGGGCTTACAGACCTGTGCCTCGGCCGCACTTCGGACAGTCCGACCACATCTCCGTGTTCCTCTACCCAGCATACAGACAACTCCTCAAGCAAGTACTTCCACTGAGCAAAACTATCAAAGTCTGGAATGAAGAAACTGATTTAGTGCTTCAACAGTACAAACTGGGATGTGTTCAGAACTGCTGCTGTGAGAGAGGATGGTACTGTTGATCTAGAGGACTATGTTTCTGGGGTAACGGGCTACATCAGCAGCTGCATTGAAACTATTGTTCCCTACAAAGCGCTGCATAAAATACCCCAACCAGAAACCCTGGATAAACGGTGAAGTCCGGTCCATGCTACATGCTCGCCATGCTGCATTTCTCTCATGCAACGCTGAAGACTACAAAAGATCCAGATACAACCTGCGTAGATCTATCAGACAGGCTAAGAGACAGTACAGGCTGAAGCTGGAGGACTACTACACCAC